TTCCCTATCCTGCTGAAACGGGTCCCTCACTGTCCTCCTCACCTACCAACCGTTGCCCTGGAAACTGTAACATCCTGGAGACGTGTACGGTATTGAGGGAGCAAGGAAACAGAGGAGATGGAAAGAGTGCGTCCTGTAAGGAACCAATAAACAATATATAAGGGCTTTTCACACTTGAAATAGCTAACCCTATAAAGGTGATAATTAAACGGTGAATGAACACACCATTTGACATTTTGCCCTAAAACATAGGCTTTTTTATTTAAATTATTTTTTTTTTAAATAAAATGGTGAAGGAAATTCTAGGTCTCATTCTAGTTGGGAAGTAATAATTTTGAATTATTAGCAAATGATAGTTTAAAATTTGCACACCTTCAGACATTTCATGTCTCATCACATTCGGTTAGGAATGACATGAATCACGTAAATTATACAATATTTTTCATTAAAAATGTCGAAATTTGAGAAAAAATTTGAGTAGTTTGCATCACTGGATATTACTGTAAGTTGTTTAACATTTCTATTGTAAAATAGTTGTCAAATATTACGTTTTGCTACTTTCATCTTACCACGCTCTCTTTCAACGTTCAAGTTTCGCACTGGAATTCAAGTTCTGGGAACAGTAAACCCTGCCTACTTTGACTTGATTGGCCATCTCAATCATTTTGACACTGACAAGCTGTTAGACAGCTGAGGAAAACCAGCCAAAAAAAATGTAACTTTTAAAGTTGAAAAATACCTTTTTGCGTAATGAAGTACAGCAGAACAGTACAATCATTTCAAATACTGGGGGAGACAGTTTGGCCATTTATAATTATTGGGGGGAGACTTGTCCCCCTCAATGTCTATGGTGGTTACGGCCCTGTAACATTCTAACACAGCATCATTTCACACTGTATAAGTTGACAGCACAATGTGAGGATAACACCGCAAAAGCAGTGCTAAGCCTGCTCTGGAGCAGGGTTTCATAACCCCAGTTAAAAAGCGGTGCTAACCCCACTTCTAAATTACAAATGTGAACTGTATCTCTACCCGGGTTAAAAGCGGGAACGACCAGGGGTTAAATTGGGCTGGGGCTGTCCAGGGCTGATACGCTGGTAACGCTGGTAACTCATCAGTGGACTTTCCTCATACATTTTCAACAATATAGGCTATATATTTCACACTTTTCTCATTCTAGCAATATATTTCACACTTTTCTCATTCTTACTTAAAGATGCGGGTGTTTTTATATGATTGCGTCTCTGAAGTGAACCGACTATCTTCAGAACAGTTTCATTTCATCGGATAAAGTAGCATTTATTAGCACAGCGCTGCTTAGCGTGCAGACGTTTTTTGAACATTAAAGCATGTCAACATATTCTGTTACACCAAATACACAAAATAATGATCTTTTAAAAAGCATTATATGACCCCTTTAAAGGCTGAAGTGTGAAGTTTATCATTTTATAATTTATTTTTTTGTGAAAACCTGTATCTCAAATATAAATCATGTTTTTACTGTCATTTTATGTACCATAGGCATCAACCTACCCTGTTCATAACTTTTATTTTTAAATTAATTTTTGCAGGTCTTAAACAGTCTTAAATTTGATTTTAAAAGTCCTGCAGACCGATGTAGCTTTGCACACTGCCAGCATCTAGAATGATTTTTATCAGCATTTTAGTGTTCATAGCAGAGAACTCTCTCAAAGATTTTGTAGTCTTTGCATTCACATGTACACCCCTCGAAAGCCTGAAATCACAGAGCCCCCCTCCCACACACACACACAACGAATCCCAATTTAACCCCTGGGAATGACGATAACCCAGGGTTAAAAATGTAAAAAGCTCTTATTTGAGATACAACTGCCACACAGAGCCTCAAATGTGTTTTTAATGGCAGAGAATGAACACACAGGAGTGGCATAATGAGAGACAGTTTATTCACTGGACTCACTGATGCATAATCAGTGTCGGTACAGAGCAGAAGGATCAATACTGCAAGATCTATCAAACGCTTCGGTTCAGATACTGTGTACATCACATATTGTTGTTCCAAAACAATTAATTAAGGCATGCACATGCAGATCTGCATGAAATCAGGATTATATTAGCAACATGAGTTATCATAATGCCTCTCAAATCATTTCATGTCACAGAGGAAACTAGCACTAACTAGTCTTGACTAGCACGGGTGCTTTCACCAAAATGCAGTTGAATTTGTAACAGAATGTTTGATAAACACAACAACAGAATTTTTCTTCACATCAATAAATAGATCCTTTGAATAGCAGGTAGAACTTGTAACCCAGAGAACTGGACTCGGCTGGTGTCTTTGAAACATTTCTTTATAGAATTGCACTGTGCAGCATAGGCGATCTGTAATCAGTGTGTAAACATGCTTGTAAGGTCAAAGTTTCAGCAAAGCACAAATGGCATACAAAACAAATGGCCGATTTCAAGGGCTGATTTTAAAATACATACCAATAAAAATACTCAAGGGTGATAACATTTGTGAAAGCACTGCAGTGCTAACAGTCAAGATTTGCATTACGAACACTGTTCTTGTCCATCAAAGAGATTCAGATTACCAGATTGGAAGCGGTACAAATTGCCACCTTGGAATTATATGGCTCTATCTGCATTCTGAGGAGTCTTAAGCTATTGAGTTTCAAAGATTTTACATTCCATATACTTTATAGATATAACCTTTTTGTTTTCTAAATAAAAAGTCCCAAAATGTACACAACTTAAAAAAAAAAAAAAACATCACATAATGTAAATAAGTTGTCACAGAATAAGAATATGTAAATAACTCAGATAGAACCTTATAATTCCAAAGTTACAAAATATGTACAGACACATATATACATACATACAAGCATGAATTTGTAAGCAGCTTAAATATAAATATTACTGAGCAGAACAATTCAAGAGAACAAAAGTCAAGCTGGCATTCACTGACTGCACGCGGTTGGCTCAAATGTGCATGCTACGCTCATTCATATTTGAGTGGTGGGGATGTAGAGCAGTAGCAAACTGAAATGTATCAAGGAGACGATTGTAGCCCCACGTTCATGCAAGCCAAACCCAAAGCGAGCCCCAAAAAATGGGGGCCTCTCACCCTCTCACTGCCCAACCTGAGTCAGCATGCTTATCCACATCATACTGTTTGTGGTACGGAATAAGCTGTGTTAGATACAGAACATTTACAAAGTGCTACACAGCAAAGGTCTTTGCCTTGTTAAAAAATATAAGAATACTTGATTTCAGAGAGTTAACAAGTGCCCCCAATCGCTGTCAAAAAGCTGTAAACATCAATGAAACAAAGTCACATTCTGCATGCAAGAGCCCCGAAGCCATGAAAATGAGGGATTCATAATATTATCTATAAAAGAACTCCAAATATGTAGGGATGCACAATTAGTAGATAAATTGGTTATCAGCTGATGTTTTAAATGAATAGTTTGGTAGTATTTAAATTTATGTTTGATCAATATTGGATTTTGTGTGTGTGTGTGTGTGTGTGTGTGTGTGTGTGTGATATTGGATATTTAATTGTGCATGCTCATTTCCTATATTTTTACATTTAGATTACCTTTGTCCTCTCACTTAATCTTTAAACACACGAATAATTAAATAACACCGTGAAATGTAATCTTTAATAATTCTCAAAGTTCATTTTAAGCACCAATTTTTTTAAAGCCTAAATTACATTTTTAGTGTTTTACCTGGCTATTGGCCATAAAATGAAACAATTAATGGCTTACCAGTATGGGCTAATATGTAAATATCAGTGCATCCCTAGATATATGCCTTCTTAAAAATGCATCCATGCTCTCATTTCCTGTTTCAGTCACAAACATGCCCACCTAAGCTGGAGTCTTGGCAGAGTCTGAATTTTGGCACAGTCGGTGTGGCCTGACCAGGAATGATTCAGGTATCATTCTGTTGAGCAACACAAATCATTCCACCAAACAAACAGTTTGGAGCTGTGTAAAATGATTCGTCATGGCCAAAACATCCTAGCATTCCTGCTGAATGTGTCTGATTCCATTGTAAACATTATGGTATAAAAATAGGACTGTTTGTATCATAATTTTGCCTCATACTGCTAAAACAATATTAAATTAATGGTTTGCTTTCTGTTTGCCTTGAAGGATCTGGCCGAGCATTGCTGTAAGGAAGAGGGGAGGGCATGTTGGCGAGCATTACGATATTGGCTTCTTCTCTCACACACACACACACACACACACACACACACACAAGCAGCCAATCAGAGGCAGCTCAGATCCCCCTCAACACTACTGCATTCCCTACATCTCGCCATCTCTGGGGTATGTTTTCATCTGAAGGTACTGCCCCCCTCCTCTCCTCCCCTATCTTTCTCTCTCCATCCCTCCATCTGTGTGAAACAAAAGACTGCAGCTTGGTCTCGATCTCTCCCACTTTCTCCTTACCTCTCCCTCCTTCTCTATCTGTAGGATTCTCTGATACATGATTTTTTGTTTATGTGTGTTAATCTGCATCTTAATCTCTGTACATTCTGAGAGAGAGAGGCTGTAGAGCAGCTCTTAAAGTAATTCGGACTCATCTGTGGATGGATGCCAATACGGAAGCCATCTGCTGTTTCATATAATCAATTACATTTTAATCTGAGCTTTTCTTTATGGATTCACACTTCTGAGAAAACAGGGATACTAAAATGAGCTTGTGCGTAAAAAATACTTATAATCTTTGTCAAGAACCAAATCCCTTCCCATTCTCTCTCATTCTTTTCCTCCCTCACATCCTCAAGGGGTGCATGACGAATGAAATGAGATCATATTTGTGGTCTCCTCACTGACGTCATCTCAAATGGTGAGTCCTTTGTTGGGAGAGAAAAAAACAAAACAATCATGCATGCCTTGCCGCATCGCTCGTGATTCCAGGCATTTGAAGAGCTGAAGAGTCCATGTTGTTTTTGATTGTTCTGGCACGATAGAAGATAAAGGTGACATCCAGCTTCAGAGTCTTCTGACAGAGTATAAAACAAATGAAAAAGCATTCAGGAGCATTCAGATGTAGAGAGATGAATGACACATGGAAGAAGAAAATGGTCATCATGGATTGGTTGTTGGTTGTGAATTTTACTTCACCCTGAGTGTCGTGACAGCCATCAGGTCTTAAGTATTACTGAAAGAGAAAAAGAGGTGTTGAAAGAATGAAGCAAAGTGAATTTCAAACAAAACACCTACCTCAAAAATGATGCACATACAAACAATTCAATAGAAAATGATTAAAGCTACATTAAGCTATATTAAAACTACAAAGCCAACTTTACAAAGCCAGCTTGTGATTTTTCTGTTCTTTAGTATATTATTTAATTAAAGCACAAGTATATGTAGTTGTAGACTGATTTTCAACATTTCAAAAATAAAACAGGATACAAAGTTAAATACAATATCATTCAAACATTTGGGGTCAGTAAGATTTTTTTGTTTTGTTTTTTGGTAATAAAAAAATGCATTTATTCAGAAAGGATTAATTAAATTGATCAAACGTCACAGCAAATACATTTACAGTGTTACAAAAAGATTTCTATTCCACATAAATACTGTTCTGTTGAACTTTTCATTCATTAAAGAATCTTGAAAAGACAAAAATATTAATCAGCTCAACTGTTTTCAACATTGATAATAATCAGAAATGTTTCTTGAGCAGCAATTCAGCATATCAGAATGATTTCTGAAGGATCATGTGACACTGAAGACTGCAATAACGATGCTGAAAATTCAGCTTGCCATTTTAAAATACATTAAAATAGAGAAGTTATTTTTAATTGTAATAATATTTTACATTATTACTGTTTTTCACTGCATTTTTGATCAAATAAATGCAGGCTTATTGAGTATAAGAGACTTCTTTCAGAAACATTTAAAAAAATTACCAACCCCAAAACTTTTGAATGGTAGTGCATGTCACATTTCAGATCCTGAAATGACAAAAAAAATCAATCTTAATCTAACCTTTAAAATATAATATCAGATTTGATATTTTTATAATATTTGATATAAACAGGTTACCTGTAAAAAAAACGAAAAAAAACACTACTTCTACAAACTATAAAACAACAAACTTAGATCCATTAAATACAGGCCACGATCAATCTCACCTGTAATCAGATCTAATTCAAATCCTGACCATGAGCTAAAGCTCTTCAACCTGACATTGACCCAAATCACAAAGTCAGCTCTAAGCTTGCATTCAATTTCACATGCTCTGGCCTCATGGGAAGGATACTCACCACCCCAGTTGATGATGATAGTAACAATAATGATGACAATCCCACCCACCAATGACACGATGGACAGGATTTTTGCATTCTGGCCAAGACGACGCGCACCATCCATATTGCCCTGCTGCAGACTGTTTCGAGACTGAGAGTAGAAAGAGAAGTTGAATGAAAAGGAGAAAAAATATACATGGAGAATATATAAAAATAATTCCATCATCACTGGAAGGAATTATGCAAAATACAGTTTCTTGGCTAGTAAGAAATGTTTTCAATTTAATCTTCAAGAAGTTCCTTTCGTACACTGAGTGGCATAATTCTTCATAATTCAAGTGAAATCACAGTCCCTCCTTACTCAACAGAAACTGTATCCAGCAATCCCACCCCGTGAACACACAAGCACACACCATGACTGAGAAGGTCAAGCCGATGATGTTAATGGGCCAGACAGGACAGAGGCAGGCCAGAATAGCCCATATGAGATAATCATTGGGTTTGGATCCGTCTCCAACATCAGTGGCCGTGCTGGGCTGTCGGGTGAGTGACGGTCGAGGTGACCCCGCGTGACTCATTGACCCAGAGCAGCTGCTCAGGTTGGCTCGCCCGTTTGCGTGGTTGGGGTTGGCCTGCTGCTGACGAGGAGAAGAAGCTGTCGGAGACATCTCGATAGGACCAGGGCAAACACCATTACCTGGAGTGATGTGAAAGAGAGAAACACGTAAGAAAGTGAGACAATATGTGGATGCATAAGCCTGCCTTTCAGACTGTCTGTTTTTAAAAGAAGTGATTATTCTAAAGCAGGGCCATAACCACCATAAACACTGAGGGGGACAAGTCTCCCCGCCTCCAATAATTAAAAATGGTCAAATTGTCCTCCCAATATTTGAAATTATTGCACTTCTCCACTTTTCCGTTATGCAGCGCTCTGTTTGTTATAGGATGACTAACACTCCAAAGAGAAAGGAAAAATTGAAATCGCATCATATGACCCCTTACATTTTTAGGCTGATCTGCCACAGTGGTCTAGCAGCACTCGTCAATGTCAAAATTATTGAGAAGTCCAATCAAATCAAAGTTGGCGTGAAGCACCAGTTTTCACATAAGATGGTAAGACAAAACATTTAATATTTGACATCTGTTTTACAACAGAAATGTTAAACGACCAACAGTAATATCCAGCGATGCAAACTACTCAACTTTTTTTTTTCTTAAATATTGCTGTTTTGAATTGAAAATATGGTATAATTTACATGATTCAAGTAATTCCTAACTGAATGTAATGAGACAAGAAAAGTTTTGCGTTTTCGACATATTGGGCATACAAAAAAGAGTGAATGTGTGTATATTTTAAAATACTATTTGCAAATAGTTCCAAAATGATTACGTAAATGCTAGAATTAAACCTAGCATTTCCTTCACCATTCTATTCCATTATACTTCATTTAAAAAAAAAAAGGTCCACTCCAGTGTTAAAGAGTCAAGACGTGGTTACGGTCTTGTTCTAAAGGCACCAAAATCTCCTGCTCAGTTTCTACTGGCAGAAGGGAACTGCATCTGACTCATCTACTTGTTGAGAAAAACAAGAAAGAAAAAGAGAGTGGGGGATGGTACAAAAGCTGAGAAGAAAAGGGAGTGAAAGTAAAGTAAGGCTGTAAATCATTTTGTATCAGTCTCATAGAATTTGAGAAAAAATGCTGAGAGATCATTTTTCTCTTAAGGACAGAAGGAGCGGCTTGTACATCACTGTGGAACTAAGGTGATCATTAAAGACCACCTTATATTTCCTATTGAAACAGGGAGTAGGGGGTGTCATAACGAAGGGCTACAAGATTTGCTAATTACTATTGCTAGTCAGAGTCAAGTGGTATTAGGGGAAGTGGTATTTTGCTGACCAATATATATATATATATATATATATATATATATGCCCATGAGTGCACGATAATGTCATCAATCTACTAAATGTTAATTTTGTAACTGTAAGCTTTTAGGTGTACACTAGCATACAGATGGCCTCAAAGCTAGCAGACATGGACCTAACACCACAAAACTCTAATTTTGATGCCATGGGGTCTTTAAATGACAGGTAATGACAGGTGATATGAGCAGGTCCTGATCTACTTACTACCTTAAATAAATGTAAAATTGAAATAAATTTATATGTAAATATATTTTATAAACTAATAAACAACATGCAAAATATACTTTAAATAGTTTTTTACTTGTTTCCATCTTCTCGTCAATGACTGTCAGGTGAACATTGGGTGGGGCATCCTGAGAGGGGGCGGGGTCTGCAGCAGGAGTAGGTGTTGTGGTGGTGGGTGGATCTTGTTGCTCATTCTTGATTGGCTGTGAGGTATTGCCGGTGAGGTCCGACTCTGTGCCTGGTTGCTGATTGATCTCTTGCTCTGATTGTTGCTGCTGTTGTTCTTCCTCCACTGCACCAGGTGCAGCAGTGGGAATGCCGTCGTCAGCATTCACATCCATTCCCAAGATGTTTATGACAACTGATGTGTGGCAAAATCAAGCTTATATGTCCGTATAAATTTTGGATTTCTGATTTGTTGAGAACTGTTAGGTAAAAATCAATGAAACAGAAAACAGTTATTTAAAATGGTAATAATATTTCACATTATTGCTGTTTTTACTGTATTTCTATTCAAAAAGTTGGTGAGCATGAGACTTTTTTCAAAAACATAAAAAAACACTGACCCCAAACGTACATCTTAAAATTACATTCTGGAAATTTTACTACACAGTTGCACTTTACACATGTTAAAAATTAACATGTTTAAATGTGTAACAAATTACTGGAACTACTCTTCTTACTAGCACTTGAGATTTTTTCGTAAAAACCTTGTACCTTTATCTATCTACTTAAAGGTGAAGTAATTTCTACAACAAATAGAATTGAAGAAAAACTGTCTTTGTTTTCAAACCAGCTTCCCAAACACACTGTCTTCCACTGGTTTGAAATACAGTCACACCCCACACTGAACAAACTTGATTCTTTTGATATTTAAAACATACAGACAGCAATGTTTTGATTGTGCTACAGAGCCACAGTGTTTACACTTTTTGAGGAAATCAGTTGTTGTTGCTGCACATTAAGCTGGAACAGGAGAAACCAACACAAAATCTACATTAGGCTGCTATCGTTAAAAAACTCCATAATTGACCAAGGTATGGTCAGTCATTTTGTCATGTGAACTGTATCCAAAAGGGGCTGTTTTTTCAACAACCCAGTCTGCACTTGTTCACCTGCCTACATTTAATCTCCCTCAGAGCAGGAATCTGTCCCGAGACCCTACAGGGACAAAAATGAAACATAAAGCCATGCACCACAACCAGCTTTATTTGTGTGATATCCTCATCTGCCTCATCATATACCGATCTGAAAGATGACAGAATTTCGTGGGAGAGCTGCAACCATCAAAGCTAGACTGCCTAAAACTACGCAATATGTTGTATGGTCTTAAAAACTATAGCTCTGTCACACCCAAAATCCCAGAAAACCACCTTTTCGAATCTAAAAGGAAACCAACGAAAGACCCTAATCATATTCATCATATTCAGAACCAAATATATTCATTACGTTATGTACACGCTGTTATTTAAATTCCACATGAGCATCAGATACCAACATCTGTGAGAAAACAAAGAGCATCAAATGGCACACCCATATCTGCAACAACCATAAAACATTGTATGATTTATGACAATACATACTGACTGAACACTGCAACTGACTCGTGCGCCATGCTGCGTTTAACATAACCCTCAAATCAATTAGATAATCGATCAATCTCACAGCAATGTCTTTTCCTTTTCATCTGTCTCACTCTTTGAAATTCAAGGTACCAGTCTAGAGATACGCACACAACAGACACACACGGGACACGCACCCACGGGTCCTCTGTACGCGTGCCAAATGGCTTTATCATAATTCAGTGAAAATGATGGTTATAGAGCACATAGAGAGCAGTGCACGCACACCCATACATACAGAATACAGCAGTAAGAAAAGTGACACACCCACAGCACCCGAGCAACGACTGATGAGAGAATCAAAATGCCCGTAATACATTAGGAGCATGCAAATCGAATGTGAACTCACCGTAATCTAATGCAAAATTACAGCAAAAATCATAATCTTTCTCATTTTGAATTTAAATAAACAGCAGCACATCAAAGTTTAGGTGGTGCTACAGAATTAAGATTAAAATAAATCTTGCTTTATCCTACCATATACTATATCAGTATAAAAACGTGGGGTAATCTGTCGGCATATGATCCACTGCGTTTATGACTCGCTGTTCTCCTGAAACTGTGCGCGCGTTCTCGACTCTGTGGCGTGTGCGTGTTCTTCTTTTTTCTTTTTTGGTGGTTTACTTGTAGAGAGAAAGCTCTGAATAGTGGTAGGGATCTTGATTCAGTAACTCGAATCTTTTGAGTCGGTTGAATAAAACGATTCATTCATTTGATTCGTTCAGTGTTCCTTTCTGCTTTGTTGCATTGTTACAACAGGGAAACGGCGGATCTGCTTTGAATTTGTAGAGAAAATTATTGATTTATAAACAATGCTGAGATGATAATTTTTAAAGGATAATATGTTTTGTTTATATATATATATATATGTGTGTGTGTTTGTGTGTGTGTGTATCGGTGGTGTAGTCCTAAAGAAAAAAGTGGTTTACTATTACCCAGTAATAAAAATAAAAAAATCATGAACATAAATGTTTTTTGCTGTATGTTGTTGTTGGTTTAGTAATATAGAAATATAAATTTAGTGCACTAAAATTGGTTTACAGATTATTTTTCAAGTAGTCTACTGCATGATTTAAGTAGTGGCAGGTCTTTGGAATTATATTCATCGTGAAAAGTGCTTTACAGATAAATCTGAATTTAATGTTTCATTTTATGCAAGTGGGAAATAAAACTTAATATGGAACAAATATTTCCAGATAATATTTTCTTAAATTTGCTTTGGCTTTAATAAAGTGGCAATAAAGCCAATTATGTAATTATAATGTCTAATATTTTTCTGCCGCAGTATACACTGTGTTCCAAATTATTATGCAAGTGACATATCAGTATGATTTTAGCAAAATAAAAATTCTGATTTTAGTTTTTCAAATAAAGTGTTTGTTTGTTTGTTTGTGTTTGCGTTTCAGCCAGCCCTAACCTAAGCTCACAGAGAGAAACCTTTACAGTGAGTGTATAGAAATATATGAAGACTGGTTTTTAAATAGTTTTATTCACTGACGAATGCCGTGCTACAATGGATGGGTGAGTTCTGGATGGTTGGTGAATGGCCACCCTGTTCCAACAAGACTGCGACGTCAGCGAGGAGATGATTTGGGCTGGAATGTTGGGAAGTGAGAAGGAACGTCCCTTTAGAGTCCCTGAGGGTGTCAAAATGACTTCTGCAAGATATGTGGAGTTCATAACTGACCATTTTCTGCTATGGCGTAAAAATAAGGATTATGTCTTCCGAAATAAAACGATTGTCGTGCAGGACAGTGCACTATCCCATTGCTGCAAAAAAAAACACTACAGCACTAAAACTGTTTAAAAATGTGTCTCTCTTCTGTAAATGCAAGAAAATAACGGAAATATGGTCGTTACGAGTCTTGTCTATTTCGCAGATTTTGACAGGTCTGTGTCTCTCCACAGTGGCTCTCACCTGCCCTGTTTAGAGTGTAAAGAGACACTTGCGAGATCTTGTGGACTAGAAATTGTGGGCTACACAATTCCATAAATCCACGATTACGAAAAAAGAACACTTTGCCTCAGTTTATTTGTATTGCAGAAATTCATGAACTAAAAGTGACAGAGAATTGTTTTTACAGTGTTTTCTGCCATCTTGTGGAAACACAATTTCAGCACATAGAGCACAATGGCCAGAGTTAATTTCACAACAAATTCCACAGGCGCATTTTTGTGTTTGTATGATAACATATATAATATATTTATCACTTTAGCAGCCTTTTTTTTGTTGTTGCATTTTTGAGGGGTGCCATATAAAATGACACAAATATATTGCATGTACACCATTATATGTGGGTAAAGGGAGCCTTCAGATAGGCCCCAGATGTTATGTGTCCTGCACTGCCTATCAGCACCCTTTAGCTTTGACTATATTTACAGTATACCTTATTGCTAATTAAAATACAGGATCTCTGCTTCTGCTTCAAAAGCTCTAAAAGCAGAACAAAGTCTTGAAGATTGGCCTGCAACTGATGCATCAAGGCTGGAAGTCTTGCCCCACTTTACCTATTTATTGTGCTTTTATTTTTCTGTGTTGCATGGTTCCATGCGTTTTAATACAGATAGATTTTTTACGTGTGTTGGGGGTTGTGCAACACAATTAACTGAAGAATTTATTCGGTTGTATATTTAGACATTCTGGGAAATGCTGATAACTCACTGGTTAGTGCTTTACACTGAATGGAGCAGAGTTGATTCAAATTAAATCAGTGTACAAAAGGAGGTGGCATTGATTTAGTTTGCTCTGGCAATTCATTGTACAAGTAATTCATATGTATTTAGTCCTCACATCTGCCTAGAATTGTATGGTTAACTCAACCTTTTCATATACAAATTTTGCAAATTTATGATGGAAGAATTACATTCCATCGTGATTCAATCACTTTGCGTCTGTTACGCCACTGGTAAAAACCGGGTCTTTCTTTGGTACAAGAAAGAGTGCACTGTAAAAAAAAAATCCGTAAAATTGACGGTAAAAAAACGGCAGCTGTGGTTGCCGGAATTTTACCGTAAAAAATGCGGTAGAAACGTTTTAGGTTTTACGATTTTAACTTCAATTTACAGTTAAATACCGTAATTTCATTAACTGATATAATGTCAATATACCAACCTATTGAAGTACTGAAATCTGTTTTGTACCTTTGTAATACACTGATAACCACCAAATACAGTAGGTGATAAGAAAGTCTTTTAAATAATGACATATATAGAAGGTGCACAGTGTCATTCACACAAACACCAAACACCATCATGGTAACACACATGAAACTAAAATGATGCAATAAACATTCATTTAACAACATTAGGTGTAACACACAACCCTAATGTTTTAGGTTTTACGGTTTTAACTTAAATTTACAGTTAAATACCGTAATTTCATTAACTGATATAATGTCAATATACCAACCTATTGAAGTACTGAAATCTGTTTTGTACCTTTGTAATACACTGATAACCACCACATGCATGTGCTGATGAGAAAGTCACATGATGAACCAAAGCCCATCACAAGCAGCTTTTAAATAATAACATATATAGAAGGTGCACAGTGTCATTCACACAAACACCAAACACCATCATGGTAACACACATGAAACTAAAATGATGCAATAAACATTCATTTAACAACATTAGGTGTAACACACAACCCTAATATACAAAACTGATAAGAAAAAACTAAGAAACAGTTATTTCAAGAAAAAACATCAAATTTGAAATGTAACACAGGGAATTCTGGGAATGTCAATTTATGGTTATTCACTGTAAATTATACAGTCTTTTGCACTTCCAAAAACGGTATACTACCGTAAAATTAATGTTCAATACAGTTTTTCACCGTATATAGTAGGGGAATTTACCGTTAACCATTTAACAGGTTTTTACTGTAGCATTTTTACAGTCTTTTACCGTTAAATTCACGGTCATTTTTTACAGTGTGTGGCATGAAACCTGTGACAAGGATCCAGTTTTCATTCAATAACAGCATGAAGTCTGGTCTGGCTGATGTTGGGTATGAACTGGTGGACAAGGATCTGAATGCAGGAGCTGGTGAAGATCCCATCTTCCTGTGGTACTTCTATGGCAGCACTGAACATGACTTTCCCATTATGAGCCTCGAGGTAAGCAAAGATGCCAAAGAAGAACCTGCTCTTTTGAAAGATGGCTGGGAGAGACTGGGCTGTGATCTGAACCGTAGGGCAGGAGGAAAGTTCATCTACCTGTGGGTAAAGAGAGAGAAGCCGAGCTACATCTGTGAGATCACAGCAACTCTTGACTTCAATTGTGACAAGCACCTGTTTGAGCTGGGCTGCACCCGTGTGGATGAAGACACCAATCGAGGTGTTTGTGGAAACCACGTTTTCCTCTGGTATCGCCGCACAACCGATAAGAGCAAAGCTCTCACTGCTCTTAAAATATCCACCTCCCTCCAGGAGCAGGCAAAGCTTCAGGCAAAAGGCTTCAAAAAGCTCATTGTGGATCTCAATGAAGGAGCCCGTGGAAAGATTTCTACACATGGTACATGAATGAAGGGTGTGAATCCCAGATCCAAGCCATGGTTCTGCTGATCAACTATGAGGCCTGGAATTCGTATGAGAAAGCTGGCATCAACTTTGTCAACAAAAATCTGAATGAGGGCAACAACGACTGAATTATGTACATAGCATACAAGTAAAAACACAAAAATCTATGCCGCCATCACAGTATATTTTTCAGTAATATATCTGGTACCACTATATGGCAACTATGAGCACAATGTCACTCTTTAAAGCATATTGTGGCCGTGGCTGTTGTAAAACACTCAGCCACACACAATTTATTTGGCTTTTGTGTTTATGTTATAATACATCATGAAATAAAGACGACTTTATCCACAGTGAATGCTTTGGTGAGATTAATGCACTTTTGGACTTGTCTTTGGGATATATCTAGCGCTACGCTATACTGCACAGTCCCCTCATTACAAATTCATATTTCAGGTTCATAATACCCTTACGCTACAAAAGAGATTCAATAGTGATTGTATAAAATCAAATGAATTCAAAGACTTTCAAGCCTTCTTGGATGTGCATTCCAAAAAAGGTCTTGTATGACATTTTTACTACGAAACTGAAGTTTTACTGAACAATTATTTATAAAATTATTAGCACCTTTATTAGGTAATTGATATTAATATATGAGTTTCCACATACTATGGACTAAATCAATACATAAAACCAATCCATATTCATAACTGATGGTTACAGGTGACATACAAATGTAAAATGCAAAAAAAACAAAAAAGAAAGAAAAAAATTACTATTTTACTCTTTTCCAATCAGAAATATACACCTTCGTCTTCTCATAAAGGATGTAAGCGCCAACGAATCTGTCGAGCTAACGATTTAATGACTCGCTCGCATTGTCGCCACCTGCAGGCGTAACAATCTACAAAGACTACATTTTAAAATAAGTCTTCAAAGATATAAAAGTCCATAAAACTGTAAAGTGTTATCACAGTTGACAGACACGCCCACAAGTTCATCCATCACATTTGTTTAACCCGCCG